TTGACAATTGGTTCCTATTTATGACAGTTGCAATGATCCCCTTTTGTGACCTTCTGACAAGCACAACCAATCGGGAAGCTGGACTCACTGAACAATGGTGTTACTAACAATTGCAGCGATTCATTTAACGTGGCAAGAAAAGTCATAAAATGGGGCAAAACTCAAAAAAATTTTAAGGAGGCATTACTCCTCCGGCATTCCTCCTCACTCCAGGACGCCCAGCTCAGCTTCATTTGCAGTGTCCATTGAAACTACTATGCAAAACTAAAAAGTTGTGGTTTGGTGTTATTATCCTAAGGGAGTCGGAAGTCAATGTTTTTTTCTTCTTTCTTTTTTCCCCTTCTTATCCACACTTTTCCCTTCCTCTTCCCTATTTCTCTGTCTTTTTGCTTTTGTATTTTTTTCTATATTATAAATTAATACAATGGTTTTTTTAAAAAAAAAAAAAAAACCATTGCAGCGATTCAGTGAACAACTGTGGTGAAAAAGCTTGTAAACGGTTGCAAAACTCACTTAACAGCTGTCTTGCTCAGCAAGGCTCACATTGGGGACGTAAGTCGAGGAATACCTGGACCAGGATACTCACCTGCTGCTCTTCTGAATTTTCTTCTGCCTTACTCAGCAGGAATCCCTCAGCCAGGGCCACCGCCTGGGAACTGGTCTCTGGCTCACATTCTCGAAGCCAGCTCTCCATCTTGGGAGGAAGGATAGCCAGGAACTGCTCTAGGATCACCAAATCCAGAATCTCATTCTTTGTACGACGCTCGGGTTGGAGCCACAGCAGGCAAAGATCACGGAGCCGGTTGAACGCCTCTCGGGGTCCCAAGATCTCCCGGTAGCGGAACTGACGGAAATGAAGGCATCGGGCATCCACTGTGTAGTAGGACTCCTCTGGCATCGTCTTAGCAGCCCTGAGCTCCACCTCAGAGTTTCTTCCTGCTTCTGGGACAGCCAAATTTCGCTCCATTTTTTAATTGTTCCAGGGTAGATCCCATCAGGAGCAGGGAGGCGCAGTTCCCTGAAACTCCTTCTTACAGGAAACAGGGTCCGAAGCTATAAAAAGCCAAGGTGTAGCACATTGTCAAAGCGGTAAAGGATCTGGTAAGCAGTGCCAACTGGTAACTGTGGCATCTCCTGGTAGAGGAAACTTTAAACCTCAAAGGGCAAGGGAAGGTACTGTAGAGCAGCGGTGGGATTCACATTTTTTTTTACTACCGGTTCTGTGGGCGTGGCTTGGTGGGCGTGGCAGGGGAAGGATACTCCAAAATCCCCATTCCCTCCCCTGGGGGAAGGTTATGTTCTGACCCAGGCTTCGTAAACCGTAATTATTCACAAACTTGTTTTAAAAAACAAAATCTATTTTATTGCAATGCTGGGAATTGTTTTCATTCCCAGCTAGAACTAATCTTAAACGGTTCCCCAAGATAAGCACACACCTTTCAGTTCTATGGAATGCTGCCAAAAGCAGAAGTCCTAAAATATTTCAATTTTCTAGGAGAGGGGTAGGTTTTAACTTCCAACAATACACTGAGACCTTCTGTGCCGAAGACAAGTTCCTTGTGTGTCCAAGCACACTTGGCCAATAAGGAATTCTATTCTATGACCTTTGCTTCTAATGCAATCCTAAGTAGCATTAACAGAGGGATACAATCAAGATCAAGGGAAGTACTAATACCACTCTATAAAGCCTTAGTAAGACCACACCTAGAGTACTGCATCCAGTTTTGGTCACCACATTATAAAAAAGATGTTGAGACTCTGGAAAAAGTACAGAGAAGAGCAACCAGGATGATTAAGGGACTGGAGACTAAAACATACGATGAACGGTTGCAGGAACTGGGCTTGGCTAGTCTAGTGAAGAGAAGGACTAGGGGAGACAGGATAGTGGTCTTCCAATATTTGAGGGGCTGCCACAGAGAGGAAGGGGTCAAGCTATTTTCTAAAGCACCCGAAGGCCAGACAAGGAATAATGGATGGAAACTGAACAAGGAGAGATTCAACCTGGAAATAAGGAGAAACTTTCTGACTGTGAGAACAATCAACCCATGGAACAGAAGTTGCCCTTGGAAGTTGTGAGAGCACAATCACTTGAGATTTTCAAGAAGAGATTGGACTGCCATTTGTGAGAAATGGTGTAGGGTCTCCCACTTGGGCAGGGGGTTGGACTAGATGACCTACAAGGTCCCTTCCAACTCTGATTATCTGTTATCTATGATCTATGTCCCCAGGTCGCAGCACCCTTTGCTAAAGAGACCAAGTCAGATTGTTCGTGATCTGCAACCCCAGATACTTAATACTGTTCACCACCTCCACGGGAAGGGACTCAAGAGCTTGAGTTAAACTTTCCTTCTCCGTGGATTGCATTTCAGTTCAAAGGGCGGTGGGTGGGTGGTGGACTCGAGACCAAGAGCCCCAGATGTCTGGAAGGGGGTGGTTAGTCTTTTGGTACCTCTTTGAATCCTCCAACAGCTCCCTCTTCCATCCCACCCTTGGGTCTCCATCCCTCCGCAGGTGTGGGCTCTCCATAGCTGCCCCCCTACCCACTGCCACCACCTGACATCATCATCCCAGGTAGCCTCCATCCCCTCCCCGGGAGGAACTCACCAGGCATCCCAAGACAAAGACCCCCTTTGCCCAGGGGGGGGAGGTAAGAAGGAGGGGCAAGAAGGAGGACACAGGACAGGAAACAGCTAGTTTCCCCATCTCTTTCTTGGCCTTTCTAGCCATCTTGCCTCTCTTGCTTTAACCCCTAAGAGGGGAGAAAGGTGCGACATAGCAGCTCAGGCTGGAATCTTACACCCATCCCTTTATTTTATTTATTTATTTTATTTATTTGATTTGCCAATTGTTTACAAGATAATAAGTATAAGTGTATACATAGTTGTGAATACATGAAATGGGTACATATAAGAAAAATAAAAGAATAAGAGAAACAATAGGACAGGGACGGTAGGCACGTTGGTGCGCTTATGCACGCCCCCTACAGACCTCTTAGGAAAGGGGTGAGGTCAATAGTAGACCTTCCTGCTGGCCCTCTGTGCTTGATTTAACTAAGTAAAAAAAAAAAAAGTTCAGGTTTTAATATACTTATTTGCATTCTTATGATCCCCATGTATATACTATTGAAACAGCGACATCTATGTTGTCTTGGGCGTGTCGTGAGAATGGCTGATGGGCAGATTCCGAAAGACATTGTTGGCATAAGCGCACCAACGTTCCCACCGTCCCTGTCCTATTGTTTCTTTTATTTTATTTTTTATTTTTCTTATATGTATCCATGTATTCATAACTATATTTTTACTTATACCTATTATCTTGTAAGCAATTGACAAACCAAATAAATAAATAAATGAATAAGAAATATCCTTCTGGCTTCAAGTGGGGAAAAAAGACACTGGAAACACGGAGGCTGTTTGGAAAGATGGTTTAATGGTGGACAGGACCACGTGGCTTGGAGCTCCAAAGTGAAAAGAAACGATCACATGCTTCAAGATGAAGGAAAAGAACGAAGGGCTGATATGCTGAGAGTGCCTGGGTTTTATACCCTCTGTCGGGATTTGAATTTGAGCTTGTATTCTGATTAGTTGTCAGACTCCCATTGGGCCATGCAGGGGCAACTCTGTAGGCTGTCCTGAGTCCCAGGCTTGGTTGTGGCTTGCTGGATGATGATATAATGAAAGGTCTTTGGACAATTCCTATTATAGCTCTACCTGGAATAGATTTTGTTATGTAAAATAGGTTGGCCTAGGCCAGAGTCATGGCCCATTAGCAAAGGGTGGGGGGCTGAGTTTCCGCTTCTGAGGTGAGTTTCTGCTTCTGAGTTTCTACTCCTTTTAGGGGAAATATTCTGCCTTTTGTAATATTTCCTAGAATATTTCATTTTTCTAGGAGAGGGGTGGGTGCTAACTTCCTACAACATCCTGTATGCAGAATTAGTGCAGGGGAAACACCCTAGAGGGAGACCACAGCTGTGATATAAGGATATCCCACAAGAGGAATCTAAAGGCCTTGAGAATGGACATCCACAGCTGGGAAACCTTGACCTCTGATCATTCAGATGGGAGACTAAAAATGCAGCCTGGCCTTCTCCAATTCAAAGAAGAGACACTCGTTTGGCAGGCTGAGGCAAAGAGGCAGTCCGGGAACTAGCGAAATCTGGAGGCTGGACAGGGGACGGACTGTATCTGTCCTCAATGTGGAAGGGATTGCCACTCTCAAATTGGCCTTTTTAGCTTCACTAGATGCTGTTTTAGGACTTCCACGATATCATAGTCTCTTGAGACTGAAGGATGCCAATTCAATATCCTCCCCAAAAGACTGTGTCTAGATGGCCTCCATGTATCCCTTAGGAAGGGAGACTTTCTGATTTTGTGTCAGGGAACAACTGGGATTCAAATTTCTGGTTCTGTGGCGTGGCCTAATTTGTAGGTATGTCTTGGTGGTCATGTGACTGGGTGGCGTGGCTTGCTGACTGGGAGAGGCTTGGTGGTCACGTGACTGACTGGGCGTGGCTTGTATGTAAATATTGTAAATATTTAATTTTCTATTTAAAAAAGAGCAACTTTTACCCAAAATCAGGCAAAGCAAGCAGGGCAGATTGAGTTGCTCACAGAATCACAGATTCCCTCTATCTTTCTGCCATCCGCTACCTGAGTCTGTCACATAAAAGTTGCTTGCAAGCAAACTCACAAAATTAACTCACAACACTCCATGTATGTGAATATTGAATTTTTTAATTAAAAAAAAAAAGACAACTTTTACCCAAAATCAGGCAAAGCAGGCAGGGCAGATTGAGTTGCTCACAGAATCACAGATTCCCTCAGAGATCTATCTTTCTGCCATCTGCTACCTGAGTCTGCACTGAAAAACAGAAGCTTCAGTCCTAAGGAAGGTTCGGCTCTGCTTTTAGATTGGCTAGAAAGCAAGAAATTTCCTGCTTTCTAGCTAATCTAAATCTTCAGGCACAGCAAAACAGCTGATGGTTGGGGGGGGGAGGAAAAATAGCAACTTAGCAGGCAAGTTTGCCAGGTAAGGAGTGAGTGGGTGGGGAGGGGAGGGGTGGGGTGAGGCCAGCCAGTGCTGCAATTTGCCAGTTCTCTGAACTGGGCAGAATCAGATACAGATACAGATAATCAGAGTTAGAAGGGACCTTGTAGGTCATCTAGTCCAACCCCACACCCAAGCGGGAGACCCGACACAATTTCTGACAAATGGCAGTCCAATCGCTTCTTGAAAGTCTCAACTGATGGCGCTCCCACAACTTCCGAGGGCAAGCTGTTCCATTGGATGATTGTTCACACTGTCAGAAAGTTTCTCCTTATTTCCAGGTTGAATCTCTCCTTGTTCAGTTTCCATCCATTATTCCTTGTCTGGCCTTTGGGTGCTTTAGAAAATAGCTTGACCCCTTCCTCTCTGTGGCAGCCCCTCAAATATTGGAAGACCGCTATCATGTTTCCCCTGGTTCTTCCCTTTACTCGACTAGCCAAGCCCAGTTCCTGTAACCATTCATCGTATGTTTTAGCCTCCAGTCCTCTAATCATCCTGGTTGCTCTTCTCTGCACTTTTTCTAGAGTCTCAACATTGTTTTTATTATGTGGTGACCAAAACTGGATGCAGTACTCTAGGTGTGGTCTTACTAAGGCTTTATAGAGTGGTATTAGTACCTCCCTTGATCTCGATTGTATCCCTCTGTTAATACAACTTAGGATTGCATTAGCTTTTTTGGCTGCTGCTGCACACTGCTGGCTCATATTTAGCTAGTTGTCCACTAGGACTCCAAGATCCCTCTCATAGTTACTGCTATTGAGCCTGGTTTCACCCAGTCTATATGTGTACTTTTGGTTTTTCTTGCCTAAGTGTAGGACTTTACTTTTCTCTATATTGAATTTCATTTTATTAGATATGGCCCAGTGTTCTAGTCTGTCAAGATCCACCTGGATCTTGAGCCTATCTTCTTGGGTGTTAGCTATTCCTGCCAGCTTAGTATCATCTGCAAATTTGATAAGTTCCCCTTCTATTCCCTCATCTAAGTCGTTAATCATAACAACCAGTCCGACCAGGTAGAATCCCACCCCTGGAACAACACTGTGGAAGTGTGTAGTGAAAGAAATGTGGGGTGGTTGTAGTGTTGGGAAACAGCCAAGAAATCCCACACCAGCAAAAGTGTGCTGGTGTGCCCCTGGCGCACTGCACATCTAGTGCAGTTTTTCTCAACCTCAGCCCCTTTAAGATGCATAGACTTCATCTCCCAGAATTCCAGAGCTGAGAATTCTGGGAGATGAAGCTGAGAATTCTGGGAGATGAAGTCCACGCATCTTAAAAGAGGACGAGGTTGAGAAACGCCAATCTAGCTTGTGAGGAAATATTGGCGTGAGATTCAGAGTCTTAAAGCGCATGGCAAGATTAAACCAGAAACTTTTCTCAACGGAGCCCATTTATGTGGCTGTGAGAAATGCAGTTGAGTGCGTTTTGTCCCATTTTGCAACTCTTCTGGCCACGGTTGTTAAGTGAATCACTGCAGTTCTTAAATTAGTCACGCGGTGTTTTTAAGTGAAACTGGCTTCCATGTTAACTTTGCTTGTCAGAAGGTCGCAAAAAGGGACCCTGCAACCGTCATAAATGTGAGTCAGCTGTCAAGCATCCAGATGTAAATCATGTGACCATAGTAGGGATGCTGCAATGGCCATAGGTGGTCGTAAGTGTGGAAAACGTCACCTTTTTTCAATGCCATTGTAACTTCAAACAGTCACTAAATGAAACGGTTGTAAGTCAAGGACTACCTGTACTTCAGAAGTGAAGGCCCTGTCAGAAGAATAATTGCGGGTCCCAACTTGAGTAGGGGTTATGCAGGAATAAGTAAAAATGAAATCCAGACAACAGCTGTGAGGGAAGGAGAAGTTTGTTTGGTAGAGAAGTTTGTACTCTGCTCAGGGGCAACAACATCACTGCTTTTTCAACCTTGCCTGCGCCCATCTGGTCCAAACTGATCCTGTTTTTTTCGTCTCTCTCTCTCTCTCCCTTCTCTCTTTCTCTCTCTCTCTCCCCCTCTTTCTTTCTTGATCCCCTTTCTCTCCCCCTCTCTTTTTCTCTCTCTTTTTCTCTCAATCCCTTTTCTCTCTCTCCCCTCTCTCTTTTTCTCTTTCTCTCTCTCCCCTCTTGCTTTCTCCCCCCCCCCCCCGCTTTCTCCCCTCTCTTCTCTCTTTCTCTCTCCCCCTCTCTTTCTCTCTCTCCCCCTCTTCCCTCTTGTTCTCTCTCTTTCTCTCTCCCCCTTTCTCTCTCCCCTTTCACTCTTTCTCTCCCCTTCTCTTCCCTCTCTTTCTCTCTCTCTTTCTCTCTCTCCCCTTTTTCTGTCTCCCCCTTTCTCTCCCCCCTTTCTCTCTCTCCCCTTTCATTCTTTCTCTCTCTCCCCTCTCTCACTCTTTCTCTCTCCCCCCTCTTTCTCTCTCTCGCTCTCTCTCCCCTTTCTCTCTTTCTCTCCCCACTCTCTCCCCTCTCTCTTTCACTCTCTCTTTCCCCTCTTTTTCTGTCTCCCCCCTCTCTCCCCCCTTTCTGTCACCCCCCTTTCTCTCTCTCTACCCTTTCTCTTTCATTCTCTTTCTTTCTCCCTTTCCCCTCTTTTTCTCTCTCCCCTCTCCCCCCCTCTCTCTCCTTCCTCTCTTTCTCTCTCTCTTTCCCCTCTCTCTTTCTCTTTCTCCCTCTCCCCGCCCTCTCTCTTTTTCTCTCTCCCCGGGCCAGAAGGGAAGAAGAGTTGCTAGCTCTCCTCCAAGGGTTAAAGAGAGTGAACAAAACAGTCCTAGAAAGGCATTGGGGGGTGGGGGGGTGGGGGGTCCGGCAGGGGGAAACCCATTTCCGGCTGTACCCTCCTTTTTTTCTCCCCTCTCTCCCCTTCCTCACTCCCCCCCCTCCCCCTCCCCCGCCACCGCTTTGCTTTTCTATGGGAATTGAGCAGTTCTGGAGAGAGTAGCATTCAGGAGTGCAGCTGTCCCCGTAGCTGGTAAGTTGCGGGGGGTGGGGTGGGGTGGGGTGGGGTGGGGCGTTGGGCTTGGTTGAAGAAGGGAAGGCAGGAGGGAACTTGCAATGCAAAAAGCCCAGCCAACAACCCAGAGAGGGGTGAGGAATGAAAAAGCAGAGGAGGGAGGGGGAAGAGTCCCCGAGTCCATAAATCCCATCCCAGGCTCCTCCTTCCTTTATGCAAAAAGTCACTGGGTTTTTTTTGTCTTGAGAAGGGATTTTCCTCGTCATCCAACGTGTGAAGAAGATGCAGGTTGCACCTTTAAAAGTGTGCTAAAAGCCCACCCCACCCCTGAAGAATAAATAAGAATAAGGTAAACCTATTTGTATTTATTATATGTACTTATTTATTTATTTATTTTATTTATGTATATGTATTTATTTTATTATTTATTTCTGTGTATGTATTTATTCTTATTCTGAAGAATAAGGTAAACCGCACCAAACTTGGTTGCAGGAAATTCGACTTCAGCAACAGAGTGGTCAATGTCTGGAATACTCTACCTGACTCTGTGGTTTCTTCCCTAAACCCCCAAAACTTTAACCTTAGACTGTCTACTATTGACCTCACCCCTTTCCCAAGAGGTCTATATAAGCTGCATGAACTCACCAACGTGCCTACCTTCCCTGTCCTATTGTTTCTTTTTTTATTTTTCTTATATATATCCATTTCATGTATTCATAACTATGTTTATACTTATACCTATTATCTTGTAAGCCATTGACAAATCAAATAAATCAAATCAATCAATAAATAAGAATGAAATATTTGGGGAAATATTATTTATTATTTATTTATTTTAATTATTAAATTTATATTACTTTCTTTTAAAGGCAGAACATTATATTTCCCTAAAGGAGAAATGGAGTAATGTGTTTTTAGAGGCAGGAAGCACCCCCCCCCCGAGTCTTTCTCAATAGCCCACAGTGGGTTCCAGCACTTAAGGAGATAAAGAGCTTATTAAAAGAGGAAGCCAGTTATCTAGATGGCTCCATTCATAAGCAAAGCAAATATTGCTGAGATAAATCCACTCAAAGCGGGATATTTCAAAACGCCTCGCAGCAAAGCTTGACAGCTAACGAAAGCAGAATGGTAGGATTAGTAGAGCAGCCCCTCACCCAAGATCCAGCATAGAACGAAAGCCATTAGCCACAATAGGAATTCCCCAATACCCTTTCAGAATACAAGCCCCTTCATTGCACAATTCCCCTCCCCCTTAGCAGCATTTCAGGACCTGTGTAAAAATCCTGGCATTCGTCTAGCTAATTGGACAGCTGCCCAAGAACCACAAACCCTGGTGGTTCTGTTCACCAATAAACAGAACCTTCCTTTCCAATCGGCCTCCATCTTGTTTCCAGCATCGTTCTCCCAGCTTGGAACTGAACCAAATGGATATTTCTTCCAACGAGAGGGAGGAGGAATTTGTATCTGTCAGAGTCGGCCCCAAATCTTGTTTTTAGGATTGCAGCTCAGCTCGTAAAATCTTTCACATAAGAAAGAATCAGGTCTGCCCAAAGTTTGTTTGAAAGCCTCTGTCTAAAGGGAGATGGGAGGAAAGACGCTTTAAATGGTTGCTGAATATATGGGCATCTGGCTTAGTCCAAAAGCCCAAACAAGGTTGGCTAGGACTGACGAGCAATCACCAAGAAATTTCAAATCTGTAAGATGGACCAGGAGGTCCAAAAACATCCAGGAAGAAAGGCAAGGGCAAAATTCTGTATGTTGTTGCTAATATAACTCTGTTAGAAGAAAAAAATTCAGTCCAGGTCCATTGCATGGAGGAAAAAAAACCGGCTGGAAATAAAATGGAGGCTGGCTACAAGGAAAGAAGGTCTCTGTTTATTTGGTTTTCCAGAAACTTCAGGGACAGCAGCATGTTTCTGGGGTGGCTGACCATATGACAGAGAGAGTGGATGGATTTTGATAGGGTTCTGGGGTTTGGAGATTGAGATGCTCCAGGGGGTTGTGCAATGAAGGGAGCCTTGGGTCTTTTGCTATTCTAATGGTGGTGGGTAACCCCCATTATGTCCTACAGGTCATGCCCTGTCCTTAGAATTTGGATGGGGGGTGGGAATGTAAATTGTAATCCCATCAGCTCCAGCCTGGGGAAGCTGTGGCTGAAGGCATTTTGTTTGTGAAGAGACTGGCCTGGATTTCTGCAAAATGGATACTGAATGGAATACTCCAGTTTTCTCAATAGATATAAAAGTATCTGTTGGAGGGACTGCCCGGAGTGTTTTCCTGGTACTGGAGAGAAGTGAATGATTTGATCCTAAAAAAGCCTTCTTTCTGGTGTGTGTGTGTGTGTGTGTGTGTGTTCTTCCTGCAACTGCATGTGGATTTATTCATTGTCTGGGTATATATGCGTTCAAGATATATTGAAGTCGAGCTCAACTGGCTTTTAATGAAAGAGGTGTCATCACATCCATCTTAACAACTGCATGTGGATTTATTCAATGTCTGGGTATATATGCATTCAAGATATATTAAAGTCAAGCTCAACTGGCTTTTAATGAAAGAGGTGTCATCACATCCATCTTAACAACTGCATGTGGATTTATTCAATGTCTGGGTATATATGCATTCAAGATACATTAAAGTCAAGCTCAACTGGCTTTTAATGAAGGAGGTGTCATCACATCCATCTTAATTCCTTTAGCATTGCATGGATGAATGCTTGCCACCTTCATCCATCTTGATTAAATAGCTGTAGCTTTCCTAAGGACAAGCCTGAAATATATATTATACTAGCTTTATATCCGTGCTTCGCTACGAAACTATGTGACTGGCCTTAGTTTTTGAGGAGGAAAATAAGGGGGAGAAATTGTGCCTCTGCTTACCTGCATTCCATTGGTATTTATCTGGCTAGCGTCCTGTCAGTGTGTGAGACAATTGAGGGCTGTTTGGAAACTGAAACAGTATTTGCTGTGAGAGCAAGGAGACAGCAATGAGCCTGGGCGCGGCTTAGCTCAACTGTTCTGTACTAAAGCTGCTTGGTGCTGTGAAACTACAACTGAAGCTGAAACTCCTCTCCTCTGCTTGTGTTTTTCATTTTCAGGTGGGGAGGGGGAGTAGAACTCCTTAGCATCAGAGCATGTTAATAATAATATACAAAATAGCAATGCTCTGATGGTCATTTCGAAAAATCCTTTCTTAGTGAGCACCTAGAAGCCAAGAGGAACATACGTGCCAAATTTCAAGTTTGTAGGCTTTACAGTTCTGGAGATTTTGTGATGATGCGTGAGTTGGTATCTTCGCTTTTATATACTGTATATAGAAAGACACATTATTCTCTCCATACAACTTATTTGCAGATTCTTTTTTATTTCTTTTCAGACTTGCCCGATATATTGCTTAGTGAGTGGTCTGTTCATTCCAGATGCCCAATTCACTTTTTTTTTTCTGTGTTTCCAAATATTACCAGGAACATGGAAGCTTTTGCCGTGGACCCATTGCAAAAAGAAGGCCTTGTATCACAGGAAAGCCACGGAGCTTCAGCTGGAAGGACCTACAATAGAAGCCCCTTCCAGGATGTGGCTGAGGAACGTAAGAATTCCGAGTGTGAGAGAAAAATAGCAAAAGAGGGGGGTGGGGGGGGGGGGGGATAGAAATGCCTGAGAGACAAGGGGAAAAAAATCATAATATAATAAGAACATGCTGCATCAGACCTTAGCTTATCTAGTCTGGCAATCTGTTCTCACAACCAATTGCACAAGGAAGCCTACTCGACTCCTAGCGTATGGCCCTTCAGAGGCAGTCACGTTGTCATCCCAACTAATAATCAATGATCCCCCAGGGCTTCCGTAAATTGGCTCAGCTCTTGTCTGAAGCCAGAGCCAATGGGATAGCCAGAAACACGTTTCGTGGAAGCAAATTTGAAAGGTTGAATACAAAGCCGAATTGTGTTTTGCGATTAAAAAAAATACTTCCTGTTGTCTGTTATGGTTCTTTCAAGATTCAATTTCATTGGGTGATCTTTGGATGTTTTACTTTGGAGAAGGAGAAAATGTTCGCCTTTTCTTACAGTGGATACACAGTGCATTGACACCTTTAACTGTTTACCAGTGGAGATTTATCTATCTATCTATCTATCTATCTATCTATCTATCTATCTATCTATCTATCTATCATCTATCATCCAACTGTCTATCTATCATCTATTTATCATCCATCTATTATCTATGAATCATCCATATGTCTGTCTGTCTTATCACCTATTTATATCTCTATCATCTATCAATCCATCCATCCATTTCATCTGTCTATCTATCATCTATCTATCTATCTATCTATCTATCTATCCATCCATCTATATAATTTATATCATTATCTATCTATCCATCCATCTATATCATCTCCCCTTCTCATCTAACGAATCACCTATCATCCATCCATCTATCTATCTATCATCTATCTATCTATCTATCTATCTATCTATCTATCTATCTATCTATC